GTGGAAGCTTCGCCATTCATCGAAGTGGAAGCGATTCCATTTTGTATGATCTGACTCTTAACTTGACTATGAATTTACCGACGTTTGTCATTATTCGTAGAACTTTGTTGAATCCGTTGAAACGGTCAAGGTTGCGATCGGTTACTGTCGTCAGAGATTATCTCAGCTAAGATGACATTCTCATTCTCTTCCAGAAGATCAATGTCCCTTGTCTCGATTGCCTCGATGTTAGTTGGTAGGGATCGCTCATTGTGTTTGATGAGCCATTGGGAACTCTTCATCCACCCAAGGTTTTCAAGCTGTGCGCTTGTAACTCCTCGTGCTCCTGCGTCAGCTAGATTCTTTTCCCCGGGCAGGTGGAGGATTTGGCTTGGCACTGACGTCCACGTGTGTGTCCTTTATTTTGTCTCTTTGGTTTGCCATTAAGAGATTGACCTTCCGTACAGTGCGGATCCAATTCAATGCAATGAGGCTGTCACTCACAATGTTTACTGTAGAGTTCTCATAATTGAGAGCGAAAGCTATCGATTCTGCCAATCAGAAGGCAAGTAGAACTGCAAGAAGCTCCAGCTTAGGTGTGGACAGTGATCGCTTTTGCTGCGCAAGCTTTGTCTTACCGTTGATCAGTTGCGGTAGAGGTGGAATTTCTGGAATTTCCCAAGTATTCGCGTACGTCCATCACAAAATTGCTTGCATCCGCAAAAACCCATGAAAAAGGTTTAGAATGAGCTTCCTCGCCAATGAGAACTTGCCGTAATCTCCACATAGAATTGGTCGATGGCTCGGTTGTTTTCTGCCATTTCACAGCGAACTCTAAATTGACCTTCGGGTCCCAATCAAGCTTCTTTGCGAACATTCTTCTAAGCATATGCTTTTGGCTTACCGTAAGCGGCGCGCACAGACAATTAGGACCATACACTGAGTGATGCTGTCTTAAGAAATCTCTCTTTACTTTAGGCGGAGAACAGAACTGTTTTCAACGATTATTTGTCCGATATGGGATCGTAGTCTATGCCGAGAAGTTCCATTTGTTCATATGGTGCTCTAACTTCTGCGCTTATTTGGGCATTTACTTCAGGACAGTTGCTAACGAATGCTCGAAGATTCATCCCAGTTGCTGAAAACAGCGCCTTGTATTCTTTATATTTGTCTAACGCTTCATCTATCAAGTATGCTGTCATGAGAAGATTATCTACGTAAAGTAAAGACAAAGTTTCTCTCGCGAGAATTTTGTTACATTTCTGCAAATAGGCTATGCCATATGGAAGTCTTTTCCATCTGCATTCAATAACATTGTTTCGATCGAGTGGTTTATCGGGATCACTTATCCAAAGAAATCTGCACAGATCACAGTGTAACTCGTGAATTCGAATCTGCGTAAAAGGCGAATAAATGTTAGCAGTGAGCATGAATGGTTCTGTGCGACAAGCGACTAGTATGTCATGAATCATATTCACAAAAGATGCGCCAGCATGAATGGCATCATTCAGTGACAACTGGCCCTTTTGTTTAGAATTCTGAGCGGACTGGGTTTATACTCTCCTAACTCCCTCCAGAGTGTGGCATATAGTAAGTCCCTACTGATTCATGCACGGGCCCAAACACTTCTTCGAGCACACCATCTGCGGTTTCACGATCTTGATATACCATTTCATTCGTTCCGGAATTTTTTGCAAGTGTTTCATCTGCGCAGTGAGCCGATGTAGGGCCATGTTGTAATTACTAGCAAGATCTACAACATTTCCTTTCAGGGAAAACGGCGCGCTTACCGATCGGCTATCCTATTTGATCAGTTTTTCATACTGTGAAAGATATGTGTGTGCGGCATCGTGCTCTCTTCTTTTGTCGAAATACCGGAACCCACCCTTTCAAGCATGTTTCTGAGCATTCCTGCATCTGAAAGCACCGTGTTCCAGAGATAGGATAAGTGCTTGTGCAAAGGATGTCCGTCCCCACTTGGCCGCGCCCATAGGCGTTTTGTTTTTGGTCTTGCTTTTCTTTGTTTTCAGCCCTTCGAAGGGGCTTGAGCGCGACGAGACCGCGTCGACCGCTATCTGCGTCCCTCCTACCCCTAGCACTACCTCGGCTGGCACGCCGGCGGACTATGAAAGCAGCTAATGATACAGATGGCGAAGAGCTACAATACCTGATGTATGCGGACGATGTTGTGCTCATTGGTGATACATCTGATACTCTCGAAAACTCTGAAGAGCCTGAGCAATACCTCTTACCCTACGGGACAGCTAATTCATTTCAGTAAAACTAAATGGGTTGAGAGAGCATTCGTATAAAGGTCCAGTTATTAAAATGTATCTTCGTTTGGGTGTGTTGGGCGATCACAATGGAAATTGTTTCTTGACCGAAAATGATCGGAGAAAAAACAGAATGGTCGTGTTAAATAGTTATCGTGACGCTCTTACCGATAAACGGACTGGGGCTATGGTCAGATCCTGAGTGCTAAGTACCACATTAGGTTCCTCATTTTATGTAAGCGCAACTTGAAGCTTAATCGAAGATGAAGAAAGAAGATTGGTTGTCACCGCAAGCGCATTAGAACGAAGAATCTGTGGGGTGACGTTGATGCACAGGATCCTCCCAGGAATGTACGAATACGACCAAGATGTCATTGGAACACTACCTTCATCTTCTGTTAACTGCTGTTATATCGCCGCAGTACGCGTTTCGAAAGTCTTACAAGGTTGGCGATTGATGGACGAAACTTCGATCTCGGACGGGACTCGAACCCGTGCTTGTCCTTTCCGGGGTCCATTCTTCATCATAACATTATCAAATGTCCTTTGTGTTTTTGATAGTTACTGAACATGAAACAAATATTGCAGTAAATGAAATACTGACTCGAAAAGTGTTGGGCTTCAGATATTGCTCGTTGTAGTGACAACAGATGGACATCTCATGGGAGTGGTTGGTACAACTACGAAGTGAGAGGATCGCTAGGAAGACCCCCAGTCAGGTGGTGTGATTCTTTCAGGAAGTTATCTGGGCAAGGATTGGGACAAGTGGCGAGAAATTGAAACGAATGGCATAGATGCGTCCTTCGGGGATGACGCAACTACCTTCCACGACTAGTGGACTTCATTCTATTCAATGTACGTTTACTCCTGCAGAGTGAAAAAAGCTCAACTCGAATCGTCAGACGAGAACCGGTTATGAACCAGAATCCTGTCAAGGACACTCAAGGGATTGTGATAGTCGAAACCCAAATTTCCTCTTTGAAGAATTCCCAATTCTAAAGCAGTCTATACACTTTTTAAGTCGCCGATTACATTATCAGTGGCTATGAAAGCCACTGCTATCTTTTACGCCAGCAAGAGCTATTATATATGTTTGCACAGGGGTTCAAGCAAGAGGAAGTTTTATTGGTTGGTACTTATGACTAATATAGGTTGGTACAAACTGGCATAGTTGGCTTTGTGCGATAGGAGCCGTGAAAGTTGAAGAGCGGCTTTGAAAGGATGTGCTTGAAGTTTATTCTGCCAATTCTTTGAGGTTTTCGTAAAAGGCAAGTCGTACTCAACCAGTCATTATCGAAGACTAGAAATAAAGGATAAGTGATAATGTAGAAAACTTTATGATGCCAGTAAATCTCAGATGCCAGTCAATCCCAGTCAATTCAGTATCGTAGTGGCCTATAAAATGAATTACGATGGCCATCCCATGTATAAGATAGTGCTTCTGTCCTCCCAGACGAGTCTAATACCAAACATCCGGTCCAGGAAAGGCTTGGCTAGCCAGAAAGAGTATGAAAATATTCAGATTTGATCGCCGGGCCGTGTGTGTGTGCCTGTACGCCCCCTGCCACTACGCCATATTTGCCACAGA